AAAAATTGTTTTTCGGTCTATTTTAGTGTTTTTTGTCCTTTTCTCGTAAATGAGTCATTCTTTTTCCAAAGTTGCACTTCTTTTAGATAGATTAGAGGGTGCTGGATAACTTTACTTAGAAGCCAAGACTTAAGTTACTTAGTAAATTTTAGAGATATTGCTGTGGGAAAATTTTTTCTTCTTGTTTCTATTTTGGTAAAATGATCTGCGGGAAGAGTTTCTTATACTATTTCTGTTTTAAAAATTTTCCTTTTTTATATTGTTAATGATAAATAATATATTTTTATAGTCTTTTGATATATAATTTGTATATTCAGATATAAAATCACAGCATTTTTCATTATTGGCCAAATTTGTATAAAGTAAATGTATTATAATAATGAATAGTATAAATAAATTTTTTTTCATTTTTAGTTTTATTCACACAATAAAATTAGATAAGCTTATATATATTTTAAAGTAAAAATTCTTGATTACATGATTGGGAATTTTATATTATCTAATCTTAAACTATACCAAATTCATAAAATTACAAATTGGAAAATTATTAATTGCTATGATTTAACCAAATTCGTAAAATTACAAATAAGAAAATTGATAAATTACTTTTAACCAAATTCATAAAATTACGAATTAGACAACAACATTCTTAATTTTAAAAACATTCCATATATATAAAAAAAACTTAAAAATTTTTCATTAGAGTTCAAAACATCTATAAAAAGAGCTTGAATTTTAACACTTCTTCTTCATCGAATCAATCTTGATTTGATAAATTGAATACAGTCTCTTCGAGCAAGTTATTCATTAAGAAACAATAATTATTATTGTTTCTTAAAATGTCTCAAACTATTACTCGAGACATTACTACACATTTTACATGCTTTGTCCCTATTAATTACAAAATTGTTTATGAATCTTTTATTATAAAAAACAATATTCCTTGGTGGAATATTGATTTTGAACGTTCATATATTATTGTTTATAAAAAACGAAATCCTAAAGAAAAATTTGATATGTTAGAATATAGCAAATATGAAAAATATTTTAATTTTTTTAAATGTAAATATTTTGATACTCGTGAATTTTATCCATACTTGTGGCAATATGATAAATGTCATAATGATAATCGTTGTTCTTTTTATCAATGTTGTGATTATTTTAAAACATTACAAAGTATTGATAAGAATCTTTCTGATAATGAAAAACTTGCTTATTTATCTAAAAAAAATTCATTATTGAGACTTAAAAGATTATATAGTTTTATGAAACTTAGATATGATATTTTCTTTTGGATTAAAAATTTTTCAGATACAGGAATGACACAATATAAAGATGAAGTTAAACTTTTACGTGATTTTAAAATATATGTGTTTAGAAAAGAAAAGAGGAAAGTAAAAAAAATAATATACAAGAATTTACTGATAAATTGCAATCACTAATCAGATAAAACAAATTGAAGAATATCTCCAGAATATCATCCAGTTTCACCTTCTGCTCAGTCTATTGACTGAGCAGATTTTTAATTATATAAAGATGGATTTACAACAATTCGATATGATTTTTGCAAAATTATTTTAAGCATTTCTTCAATTTCTTATATCTTTTAAACAACTTTATTTCAATCAATCTTCTTCTTTTCATGATTTAAAATCAAACATATCTTCTAATAATTTCAAATCAATAAATCAATATCTTCAAGAAAATCTTCAAATAAACAAGTGTAATTTCTTTTCTTTATCAAATAATATTTAATCGATAAACATGCATCATGAATATACATATGGTTTAAATAGTGGTTGATATTGGAATTGCAATGATTTTTATTCTCATAGATGTTGTGTAGCATATAAAAAAATCATCGAATAGTGTAAATGTGTGTATTTCTGTGGATATACTTACCCAACAAAACAAAAAAATCAATTTGCAAAATGTAAATTTTATACAAATAATTTTAATGATATCATTCATAATTGTAAAGAAATGATAGAAAAAGATGAATTTGTTTTATATATTAATGAATACGAAAAAAAACTATTTAAATCTGATTATTTAAATAGACAATTTAATTGTTATCATTGTAATCAAGATAGTCATTCATCTATTAATTGCAATAATAAAATATCTAGCTAGTATCAATAATGATACTGGTTAGAATTTTAATTACATAACAATTATCTAAAAATGAGTTTTTCTACTATTCTTCATTAATATTTTAGTGAATTGAATGAAATTGAAAATGCTTGGCTCTTTAATGATTTAATTCAAGAAAATTTTGAAAAAGCACAAAGTTTTTATAATGATTATAAATTAATTTTATGTTCAAACCTATTATATACATATTATTTTAGTCAAAAAAAAAATATTATTAATTCTCAATTAAAAATTCAACAATTAATTATTATTGCTAAACAAATTAAACATGAATACTTTTCCAAAACTATGCCTCTTATTGTAGAAGAGGATGAGGAGGAATAATTTTATTTTATTAAATAAATATTTGATCTAGCTAGTATTATTACTAATATCAGCTAAAATTTTAACTATGTGAAACAAAATATGTCAATATTGTGATGAATATCTTGAATAGAGAAATGAATACTTCACTGCTAATATTTTTGATTTTGAAAATGCTCAAAAATTTAACATAAAATATCAAGATTCCTTCAAGCTAATTACAAATTACAATTATTCTAAATTGAAAACAATTAATACACAGGATAAATTATTTCAATTATTTGCTTTTGCTACGATGTTAAAATCTATTTTACATCCTGCTGAAATTCTTTCAATTATTAATGTTATCGATGAAAATATTCAATCTTTAGAAACTTCGAATAATATTTATTAATTTAGTTTTCATTTAATAATAAATATATTTCTAATCAGTCAAATTGTCTAATTAGAATTTTAACTATATAATAAGATGCAACAAACAATTAATATTGCAATTAATGGTCCAACGGCATTAGGCAAAACAGCTGTTGGAAAATTATTGGCAGAAAAACTTTGATATCAATTTATTGATTCTGGATTGTTTTATCGTTATTTAGGATATAATTATTCAAAAGAACCAATTAATAATCAAATTATATTTCTTAAAGATTTAAAAAATAAATTAAACAAACAACAATTTTTAATTGAAATCAATTTAATCGAACAACTTAATGATGAAGATTATTTATATTCTGGGAAAAAAGTATCTGAATTGGCAAAAAATAACAAACTACGCAAAGAAATTAATCTAATTACTCAAGAAATTACTAAAGAAAAGGGATATATTGTGGTTGGACGTGATACTACATTTAATATTCTTCCAGATGCTGATATCAAGATTTTTTTATCAGCAAATTTTGAAACACGAGTCAATTGTAGGGCACAGCAACTTTGTTTAACAGAATTTACAAATATTTTTGTAGATATTTTAAATCGTGATGCCACATCTGCTCCATTGGTTAACGAAGCAAGAAAGGTATTAAAAATTATTGATACAACATATTTGAATTTATCAGAAGTTGTAGACACAATTTTAGCTGAAACATTTCAAAAAATATTTAAAATTAAATATGAAAGATATTTTCATATCTTTATTATTATATTATTTTTATTTATTGTTAAGTTTTTATCTTTAAATAAATTACAACAAATATTTTCTAGTTAGTTATTATAATAACCAACTAGAATTTTATCTATGTAATTATTTATTACATCAATTTAAGTTAAAGTTAAACAATATACAAATGAAGAAATTGATTACTTTGTTGAATTAAAAAATTGGAAATTATCAAGAGAAATTGAAGCACAAGCACTTGAAAATGCCTTTTCTAATAAGGATAAATGTTTAGAATTTTTAAATTCATTGTTAGATTATTCTAATTATATTGTAAATAAATTTAAAGAACTTAAAAAAAGATTACCAAAAAATAGAAGCCATCCTTATTATATTAAATCTAAAACATTTAGAGATAAAGTTTTAAATAGTTCTAAACAAGGTTCTGTTATAAAGGTTCAACAAATAGAAAAGGCAATTCAAGATCTTGAAGAGGAGTTTGAGTGTGATACTAAAAAAAGTGAAAGTAGAGATGAAATTGAAAAGACGAGGCTAAATTAATTCCATAAATCCCAAATTTACTTTTTAATTAAATTATATTTATTATTATATTATTATTTATTTTATTTTATCTATTCAGTTTTATAACTGAATAGAAATTTATTTGTGTAAAATGACAAAAATATTAAAAAACAATTTATCAATATTATCCAAATCTGAAGGTTCAACACTAAATAAATATAATTTTCATACAGAATATTATACTTATGAATGACAATCAATATTAATTCGTAGAGGCCTTCAAATTAAAAAAAATATTAAACAATTATCATATTCATATACATGTAAATGTATAAGAAAGAAAAATTGTAAATATTATTGTGAAAAATGTTATAATTTTAGAACAAAAAACTATTGTTCTAAATGTAAAAATTATTTAATAGATGAACAAGATTTTGATAATAATTCTTTAAAAGAATCATCAGGTCTAATTTTATCACAAGATAATGATTTTGTAGTTTGTGATAAGTTAGAATTCAAATATATAACTAAACAAAATGGTATTATTGATTTTAATAAATTATCATTTAGTGATGAAGATTTAAAAATGGATAATTCTTCTTCAGATAATAGCAATAAATTTTGTAATTATATTTATTTAGTCTTATATAAAGACCAATTAAATTTTTATCTATGTAATTTTTCAAATTAACACAATCCTCCCTTCAAATTGAGTATAAAAATGCAAAAAATAATTTTACTCAACTTCAGACATTTAATTCAACATATTATACTTATTTAAATATACTTAATGAAATTTATAAGCATGGATTTATGAATAAACCTTCTAGTATTAAAGATAAAATTAATAATCAAATTGAGATTAATAATAATTTAATGATACAAAACAAATTAATTATTAATAAACATGAACAAAATATTAGAGAATTTGCATTAAATTTACTTCTTAATCAAGATAAACAAATAGCATTAAATAGAAGAAATAATCCAACAAAAGATTTTCATAAATATATTCAATCAATCTGTGGTAGAAAAGAAAAAGAATCATTTGTTGATGGTAGGAAAGAAAAAGAATCATTTGAACAATATGCTATTCGTGAAACAATTGAGAAAGCAAATATTGAACCTAGAGAAATTTATTATATTTGTACTCATGAAGGATTTCGTAAATTTTTTGATGGTGTTGAATGTTTATTTAGAACAGCAATTTATTTTACAATACTTGATGATGATCAAATACCCGAACAAACTAAACCAGATAAACATGATCCATGGGTATTTTATGATCTTAAAGAATTACATAAACTTAAATTAATAGATTTCATAGCTATTAATCTTAATCAAATTTTAACTGCTATAAATAAGAAATTTAAAGCTAAACAAATTAGTTCTAATCATAAAAAAAGAAAAGTTGATGAAGCTATTGTAGAAAATTTTGTAAATGGTGTTGTAGATTCTGTAGCTAGTACACTTTCATCTGAACCAGAAATAGTAATAATTATAGAGATGATAAGATTAGTAGCTTCAATATTGGGGTTGGTGATAATAGAAAGGGAAATTTTAGAAAACTATAATTAGTTTTTTATTATTTTATTATTTTATTTTATATTATTTTATTATAAATAAATATCTACTCAGTATATATTATATACTGAGTAGATTTTTAAATTCATGATTCATTATTTGGATATGAATCCATATTTAGCAATATTAGTCGCATATATTTTTACGTTAATTTATTGTCTTGTTAATCGATATTTAACTGTTGCATTTGAAAGATGACCACTGCTATCAAACAAAAAGTAGGTAGCCATGCTATTTTACTTAGTATTTGTGATTCTAAAGTTATGCTGCTCTAGAAAAATAAAAGATAATTCTGAATTTACATTATACAATGTAGTGAGGATTAACTTTATTATTTTTCGAGAACTTGAGATAGAGATCAAAGTTATATCTTTAAAATGACTATTCTTACAAACATGAGTAAATAGGAATCTTATACTAATATTTTTTTAAAATTTTCAATGGATTTCAAACTATAAAATTGGTCACAATTTTGAAGCAATTATTCGAAAAGTTCTTGAAACGAACAATATTTTGGCTAATGAAATCAAAGTTACTCAGGGAGACAATGGTATTGATATCATTGCTACTTATAAAAAAAATACTATTTTGATTCAATGTAAAAATATTGAATCTGCTATTACCATTCATATTATGAGAAATTTTGAATCTGCAATTTTTCATTATTCAGATTCATTGGGAATCATTGTATATAATGAAGAATGAATGAAATCTAACAAATATTTAACTCCTAAAGCTTCAGTTTGGTTAAATACTTCAGAATCAAATATTCATATATGTAATCAAAAAGAATTAGTTCAATTGATTATAAACTTCTTTAGTATTGAACCTGAAAAAAAAGATTTTATAATCACAAATTATAAAGCAGATGAATTTAATTTAAATCAATTTGGTATTACAAGTAAAAATGTCAATATTGGAAAACTAGTAATTAAAAACAATAAAAAAGGGCGGTTTTCCTCATTAAATTGATGTATTGAGAAATTTTAATTTGTATTATTTTTTTTATTCATTCAGTCTTATGACCAAATGAATTTTTAATAATATAAAATTAAAATGAATTACAACTATGATGATCTTAAAATGGATACAATGCATGTTTCTTCTGAAGCTAAACAACGAGCTGAATATTATGATAACAATTATAAAATATTTTAGCAAACTAGATATGGAAGGACTAATGATATAATGAAATTGTTCAAACAGGCATTGATTAATCTTATAAATTTTACGTTTACAAATACATTAAATTATAAATTTAAGGAGTTTATCTGTATTTTAAAAGATAATTTTTCTACTCTTTATATAAATCAAAAATATAACAATTTTGACAAGAATTGGGGTCATTGTGTTTTAAATTATACCTTTCAAGATTTGGAAATTATTGTTGACAACTATTTGGATCTTGAACAAGAGTTTAAAGAATTTCAAAAATATTTTAATTAATTAATTATTTACATAATATATAATTCTGTTCAGTATAATCACCGAACAGAATTTTAAATACGTATTAATTCTTTAATAAACAAACAAACTTTAAGAATGGATTTGGCATTTATTTTATTTGGTATATTCTTATATTTTCTATTCATATTTATTGAAAACTATACCAAACCCCTAAAAGTTATTATTTTAGCTAGTGCAATTGGTTCTGAAAAACTACTCTTGAAAAAATGTTGGAAAAATTTCTTACCCAATTGGGTTATAAAGTATATTGTATGAGAGAAGTTTCACTTGATCTTCAAGAAGAATTGGAAATATTTTACAAGACCAAGAATGTATTATTCTTTCAAAAAGTGATTACAGATGCATATAGCAAAATAATAAATCAAGTTAATAATACATGAGAATATGATTTTATTATTATTAATCGTGGTTATAGAGAAATTGAAAACTTTACCAATATTAATATTAAAGATGAAAAGATCAAAGAATATTTACGAAAACAACGTGATTTAATTAATTTAGAGAATGTGTCTCATGTAATTTATGTCAAACCTAAAAAAGAAATAATGATTAAAAGAAAAATAGAAAGAAATCGTTTATAGGAAAGTTGTGATAAAGAATATTTGTTAACTCTTTATTATGAATATGAAAGAAATATTAATAGCATGTATTCAAATCATATTCTTTTTGAAAATAATAATAGTTTTTGTGAAGATTGTCTTAAGTTAAATAAGTGTCGAATTCAAAAAAGCCATGTAATTTGAACCAATTTTATTTACTTTTTAATCTTTTAGCAAATACTAAATAATAATTTTTTATTATATTATAAATAATTATTAATATTCAGTAGCTTTACCGAATATTTTTTTATTTATATAAACAATATGGATATTAATTTTAATAAAAATATTTTAACAATTAAATTATCAAAATATTTTAAAAAAACTTTTGAATTTTATTTATTTGATTTATGTGATAGTGCTATTGATTTACAAAAAATCAATAATCAAACTTATCAGATCATATTACCAATACATTTTAAAAAAATTGATATTTATGTAAAAAACATGAAGTCATATTATTTTAATACAGATTTTCATATAATTATAGTTGAAACTGTGAAAGTTATTATAATATTTATTTGAAAGAAAATACTATAAAGTTATTAAAAGCATGTGAAAAAGATAATGAAGAACTTTATTATGAATATTTTAAAAATTCAGTAGAAATTAAATAAACAGAAGAAATTTTTTCACTTCAAATAATTTTATTCTAAAGAATATAAATAAACTATCTAGTTAAATAACCAGATAGAATTTTTTATATATAAAATGACAACTAGAAATAAAATAGTTAATTATTTTTATAATAAAAATCCAAATTTATTCTTTGTTTATGAAACCGTTGATACTTCAAATTACAAAAATTATTTATTACATTTATATGCAATTTGTCCTAATGGACAAAAAGTAACTATAAATATTGTTATAAAAGATATATTTTTTGATATTAAAATAAAAGATGAAAATTTAGTAGATTTCTATTTAGATGAATTTAATCCAGAATCATATGAGATAATTACAAAACAACCATTTAATTCAACAGAAAAACATGATTTTCTTCGTCTATATTTTAAAACACACAAGAAACAAAAAAATATTTCACAAAAATTAAAAAATAAAATAGATCATTTAAACAAATTAAAAGTAAAGGCTTATTTAACTAAAGATGAAAAAAATTATAAAACAGACAGAAGAATATTGGGAATGATATGATATATACTCTGATGATTTAACATGCTATTATAGAAAAGTTGCAAGAGAAAATGATTTTGAATTAGTTGGATAGTATAAATTAAAAAATGGAACCATTTATAACAATATGTTATTAGATTTAATAGATATTGAAAAGGTTAATATAACCGATATACCAAATTTTTTTGTAGGAGCATGAGATACTGAATGGGGAAGTTTACGTGGTCCTGGATTTTTTCCAAGAGGAGATAACAAAGAAGATTTTATTTATATGATTCAATTTGATATATTTCTTTATAACAATCCAAAACCTCTTAAACGATATAATATCTCAACATTACCAATTGATTTAACTTTATTTTTTTCAAAATATTCAAAAAATATATCTTGTAATCCAAAGGATTTTACATTTATAATAGTGGAAGATAAAAAGGAATTACTATTAATATTTGCTGAATTATATAGTAAATATAATGTAGATTTTGAAATTGGATATAATACTGGAGGTTTTGATTGGCCAGAAGTTTTAAAGAAAGTAGAATTACTTAAAATCAGGTAGATTAAAGATCACTAAACCCAGTGATTATTGCGAATTGTGTCACCCTCGATATAGTCACATAATGATTTGGTTGGTCAGAAAATACAACCAAAATCAGGTG